ATATCAAAGTGAACATACTAATTCTTCTTATAACAACAAAATGAGAAAAATTTACAATCGTTAGGTTGAATAATTTAAAGCATTATTTTATAATCTATGTTACTGAAATATNATATCAAAGTGAACATACTAATTCTTCTTATAACAACAAAATGAGAAAAATTTACAATCGTTAGGTTGAATAATTTAAAGCATTATTTTATAATCTATGTTACTGAAATATCGATAGTTTTAACATAGAATTTATAAAGTGTATCGTAGACGCAGAGAAAGTTGAAAAAGAGAAAAAAATGGTCGTTCATGTTGTAGATATGTATTATAATCTCTAGAAATATTAATTATTTCGAATGCTGAGTTAACAAATACAAAACAGCTAAGTTATAATTGAGAAAATCGGTGTCTTGGACGTAAATTATTTGTCGCGATTGTTATTATATATCATGATTATTAAAATCTTTGTCGTTGTTTCGGACAATTTTATTAATCTGCTGCCAACAATTCCAAAACGGTCTGTATTATACAATCAACCTGTTGCGTGTAATCATCCTCGACTAGGTATGAAACCTCGAATTCTCGTAACACGAAAACAAAACATAAAACCGGAAGGTGATCTCATTTCTGAAGCTCGTAGAAGAAGGATCGTGTGAACATATACCTGAACTGGTATTTAAACCTGAATTCTTCGCGTGACTGTTTTAACCCATTATGCTAATCCAGCAGTTAATGCATTCTTGGAGTCTGATAAATAAACGTAGTACATAGCTGTTACTTCCACATACTTTAATTCTATGTTTCAAATTGCTGAAAAATGAGCTATTTCGTGAGCTGAAACCACTGGAAAAATATGATTTAATATTGAGTAATAATAAATATTTCATAGTTAGGGTAATAAAGTACAGAAATTGCATATAATATTCACGACAGATATTATGGAATTTATGGCTCCAAAACAATATTATTTAGATAAAATAAGAAAAAGATAATAACACTTTGATTGTCACGTCGACTATGTATATGTAACTGACAGAATTACTTGCTCAGATTTTAAAATTAATTCGTACGCTAATCTATCATATCTCCGTAATCTTCTTAAAATACACA